TATTGTGAGGATCCAGTGACTGAATGGATGGAAAGAGCCCAAACAGTGCCTGGCATAGAGTAAGTGTCAGGGAGTTCTGGTGGCTTAGTGACTAAGGAATTGTGCTGCCAACCCAAATGCAGATATTTCAAGTCCACCAGCTTCTCTGAAGGAGAAAGATGGGAGGTCTCCTCCTGTGTGATTTACAGCCTCTGAAAACCTGCTGGAGGTTAGGTTATGAGTTGGTTCTGACTCTGTGGCAGTGAAGAGGAGGAGGTCATTGTCAGCTGCTATTATTACAGCCCACTCAGCTCACACTGATCTGGACAGTGTATACTTTCACAGGGCTGAGGAGCCAAACCAGGACTTGGCCTCCGTCCCCTGGCCTCCTAGTCTTTGCATTTGGCTCATGAGTCCACAGCCTGGAACTATTTTTAATGGCTTCTTACAAAATGCTGAGGACGTCGCTCTGTAACATAGATAACAGTCACAGAATCAATTAAATATTGATATTTAAAAGGTCTGCCTTTTTGGGACACTTAGGAACAGATGCTGAGTTTTGCACAATCTGTAGGTGATTGACTTAATCTGCATGGTGGCTTCATGAAATAGGTACTGTTATATAATATATAATATATAACCTGTGTTCCTTCTCTGACTGAGGACACTTGGAGCTGTGGGAAGCTGAGACTTGGCTGAAGCTGTCATCTGGTGATGGTTCTTCAGCTCAGGTCCTCTGAGACCAGAGTTTATACTGTCAGCCTCACACTACTCAGCCTCACACTTATATACATGTACATGTATTTGTTGTTGTTGTTAATTATTTGCAGTTGAGTTGATTGTGCTGGAAACGCACATGTGCAGAGCAGAACTTCTCCTTTTGGAAGCAAATCCCCCAGCCTGTCTTCTGAAGCACCTCTGGGTGGGTTTGAACTGCAGGCCTTTAAGCTAGAGCTCCATTGTTTACACCACCCAAGGATTCCTCACAGGCACATTGTTGTTGTGTATCGTGGAGTCCAAACCGACCAGTAGCTGATTCTCCGGAGAGTTTTCAGAGGCACAGAAGGAGCTTGCCCATCCTTCTCCCAGGGAGCAGTTGGTGGGTTCGAACTGCTTGTCTTTGGGATTACAGTGCAACTTCCTGCCACTAGACCACCAGCCCCACTAGCACATTATGCCTTCTTTAAGGAATAAACTGTGTGCATATCTCTTCTAACATCACACATTTGTCATCTTTCTTGCAAGAAACTTTGAGGCTTCTTGGGTGTTTTAGTTTCCTTTTCTCCTTTTTGGATACAACCAGCTCTTTTTCTTTCTGTGACATCTCCTGTTTTGATAACACCTCCTCCGTCCACCTGCCTCTAATTTCTCCTGGACCTGGCTTCTCCCATAGGACGTTGGTATGGTTGTGACATCTGCTGCCCTCTTGGCTGCCAAGGTTAGGTTGGCAGGTTAAAGGGTGTCCTCTTCCGCCCTCACTCCACCCAGGTGAAAAGGACTTTCCGCCCAACAGGTTGACCTTCTCAGCCAGCATGACATGGAGATTAGGTCAAGGACGTGGTTAACTGTGTTGACCCAAGAAAGAACTCAGTGCACTCTCAGCATTGTTATCTGTCTTGCCAGAGGTTGCAGGGAAAGACAGAGACAGATCTGCACTTGTCATTTCTGGGTCTTTGCTGTCCATCACCCCACTGTGCCCCCTGCCAGTGCTCAGCTGGAAGGTGGCACTGATTCTAGCAGACAAAGAGGAACACATCAACAACATCCATCTCTTTTGCAGACAGGAGCTCGTGGACAACGTTAGAAATGATGTGAAGACTTCCATCCTGAACTAAGAATATGTGAGCTCGTCGAATGTAAAAATCAAGGAGCCCTGGTGGAGCCAGTGGTTAAGTGTTCAGCTACTAGTTTACAGGTAACGGTTACTAGTTTGAATCTACCTAATGCTTAGTGAAACTAGTGTTGTTATATTTGGAGAAACAGTCTTCTACTTTGTACATCACTCTTTGTAATTTGATGTACCAAGGTAATCTGGGTTTGCTGTGATGCTGAACCTTGTGCCATTGGGGTATCAAATACCAGAATGGTTTTGCAGTGTGGATAGTGTTTGGTGGAGCTCCCAGTTGAAAAACAGGTTTGGAAGCAGGAGTGACATCCACTTCCTAAACCACATGCCTCTGGAAACTCTATGAAATTGGTTAAATGACGATAGTTATGGAAAGGCATAGAGCCGCCATGAGTCGCAGTCGACTTGATGGCAATCAACAACAACAATGGTTTCACGAGAGAAAGGCCTGGCCAATCCTCGTGTAAAGAAGACAGCCTAGAAAACCTTCTGGGACACTTCTGTGTTGTCAGATTTGGTCTCTGTGAGTTAAAAATAACTTGACAACACCCAGCAACAACAATGCAGACTCACAGCGAAGCAGTTTACAGGCCTTACAGTATATTTGCTAGAACTGTCACATGTTATTAGCTGATGTTGAGTCAGCTCTGATGATAGGGACCCCATGGACGACAGCGAAACACTACGTGGTTGTGCCACAGCCTTACAGTCAAGGCTTGAGCCCATCATTGTAGCCACTGTGTCAACAACCCATCTCACTGAGGGCCTTTATTTTTGCCTGACCCTCTAATTTTAAAACAATATACATTTAAACACTCTTGATACCTGTAGCCAGGAAATTAAAAATGAATTGCATTGGGAAAGTCTGCTATCAGAGACCTCTTCAAAGTACTGAAGAGCAATGATGTTAGTCTAGAGACTAAGGTGCACCTGATACAGGCCATGGTCTTTGCAATTACCTGCTATGCATCAGAGAGCTGGACAATGACTAGGGATGATAGAAGGAGAATTGATGCCTTTGAGCTGTGGTGATGGAGAAGAGTATTGAATATACCGTGGACTTCTAGGAGAACAAACAGGTTAGAGAGGGTGAGACCAGGCTGCTCCTTGGAGGCAAGGATTCTGAAGCTTCATCTGATATACTTAGGACATATTGCACTAAAGGACCAGTCCTTGGAGAGGGATGCCATGCTTGGGAGGATGGAGGGACAGCGCTAGAGAGGAAGACCCTCAATGAGATGGATTGATTCAGTGACAGGAGTAATGAGGGTAGGTGTGTCAGAGACAATAAGATTGGCACAGGATAGAGGAGGGTTTAGGGCTGTTGTACATAGGGTCATTGTGAGTCACAGATAACTTAACAGCACATAACAACAACAACAACAAACAAATGCATTTATACAATATAAAGTCATAGTGTTAGCAGTTCTGGTGAGAAGACAGCAAGTTAGAATTCTGACTTTCTGCTTTATGCACTGACCCTTTTATATTTATGTGGTACTACGTGATGTATGCAGAGGCTGGGCAGTGAATACAGATCAAAGAATTGGTGCATTTGAGTTACAGTGTTGTCAAGGAATATTGAATGGGATGGCATGGGATGTCAGGAGAATGAGCAGATCTGTCTTGGAAAAAGCCAGAATGTTGCTTAGACGTGATGATGATGGTGAGATTTCATCTCACATATTTTGGACATGTTACCAGGACTAATCCCTGGGGAAGAACATCATTCTTGGCAAAAGAAGAGAGTCAGAGAAGAGAAAGGCCCTCAGTGAGAAGGATTGACATAGTGGCTAGACGGATGGGCTCAAATAATAGCATCGGTTGTGAGGCTGTGGCGGGTCCTAGCAGTGTTTTGTTCTGTTGTCCATTGGGTCCTTGTGAGTCAGAGCTGACAGAACATCAGCTAACATCATGTGATAGTTTTAGCAAATAAACTATGAACAAAAGTGACATTTGCCTTTTCTGGTCTGAGGCAAGGAAAAGCCTATGGGATTCTCCATGAGTCCTCTTGCTTGCCTTAGCTTAGATCTCAAATTGTAGATCTGGGAATGGCCCACCACACCTTTTGAGCCAGCTGCTTGTGGTAGATAAAGTTTTATTGGGACAAAGACATGACCGTCGATTTACATATTGCTTTTTTTGCTGAAAGCGAATTGGAGTAGTTGTGTCTGAGATTGGGCGACTCCTAACCAAAACAAACCTGTTGGTTTTGAATTGAATCTGATGCACAGCAACCTCACGGGTGATAAGGGGCTTTGGTTTTTGGCTTATAGCTCTTTATCAGGGGCTCCTGTGGTGTAGTCTGTTGCTAACCCAAAGCTGCAGCCTCTCTGACAGTTGGAATCCACCAGCAGCTCTGTGGGAGAAAGACAGGCCATCTCCTCACATGCAATTCACAGGCTCCAAAAACCCGCTGGAGGCTGAGCTGTGCTTTACTTTTGACTTGACAGCAATGAGTTGAGTTACATTTATTTATATTAATGGCAGCTCTAGGAAGCTCTGGTGGCCTCATGGCAAGAAGCTGAACTGCAATTCTGAAGGCATGTGATTTGAGGCCACTAGCTGCTCCGTGGAAAAAGGACAGGCTCCTTCCATGGGATTAACTGCCTCTGAACACCCACGGGAGGGTCAGCTGTGAGTCAGTTCTGACTCAGTGGTACACAACAGCAACAACAACAAGGGCAACTACAGCATTATTAGAGAATTTATCTCTCAAATATATTATAAAAGGCTCAATGTCAACACTGTTTGATGGATTTAATCTTTGATGGCTGTAATCTTCATGAAAGCAGTTTGCCAGGGCCTTTCTTCCATAGAGCTTCTGGATGGATTCACACTGACAATCTTTAGATTAGTGACCGATTGCAAACCGCTTGTATCACCCAAGGACCTTGTATAATTCACTGGACCTAAAATATTCACCATCCAGATCTTTACAGAAAAATGTGTTGACCTGTGTATTTGATAAAGCAGCTACAAGACGGTGGGGCTTCCAAAAGCCAAGGACCCCAAGGTAGTGAGGAGGAGACCTCTGTGGACCTGCAGCGCCATTGGGAAGTCAGTGAGGAAAAGGGAGCCCCCTTCTGTTTGAGGTTGTCCCTAAAGCACACGCGAGCTGCCCATGACCACTCAAGGAAGGACACTGTACCTCGGCAGGACTCGAACCTCTTACTTCTTTGAGAAGTGGACCGCACAGGTGATGCCGATGATGAGCAGGCCGATGACGATGGAGGCGACAGCCACCCACTTGGCGTTCCGCCCGAGCCTCCTGGCTCCTTCCACGTCGCCATCGTTGTAGCTGTTTAGAGACTGGGGCACAAGAGAGGAAGTGGTGATGACAGACCACCCACAAGGAAAGCCACGTACTGCTGCTCAGGCAAGGTTCCTGGTGACTGACTCTGCTTGTCTTAGTGCCAGGCGTCTGAGCCAGTGACATGGCTAACACCCCCTCCCTGAACTCCAGGCTGAGTTAGTGCCCCCTCCTTGTCTCTGTGTACTCTCAACACTGGCCATTGTTGTTGTTTTCAGGGCAGCCCTGGCTCATGGTGACTTGACGGACAACACAATGACACAGTGCCCACCCCTGCGTCATCTCCATGAAGGGCTGTGGACAGGACTGTTTTGATCCGGAAGGTTTTCACTGGCCACTTTCTGACAAGCAACCACCAGGCCTTTCTTCCTAGTCTGTCTTAGTTTGGAAGCACTCCCAGGCTTCCACTGGAACATGAGTGGTGGCTGTGCATGCAGTGTGCTGGCCCGCAAGTCAAACCTGAGTCTCCTACGTGAAAGGTGAGGATTCTGCCAACAAACCACAGCTTCTTCGTAAGCACCGACTGTGTAGCACATCAGTCATTGATTTGATCTCTCTCACTGGAGTATGAGTTTCCTGTGGGCAGGGGTCCCTACTGGCACACCATGCCAGTGCCCAGGGTGGTGGATGAAAGAGTGTTTCTGGTTTGTCCCCAGAACAGGGGCTGGCTTATGCCCTATGTTTGTAGCTAGTTTGATTCTAACACATGGCCACATGGCTTAAGTATTATCTTTAGTTGCTTTTTTTCCTTTAAAAAAATTATTAATTTTAATGAACATTTACAGAGATTTTAGATTTCCATTCATTCATTGTTGCACTTTTCTCCCTGCCCACCCCTCCCCCCAGGTCACGCCTCTCTTTGAAAAGTAAAAGAAAAATTCCTTCATTGGTATACAGGCCCCCACCCTCAACTGCACTCCACTATGCAACCTTAATTCTGGACTCTTGTGATAACTGTAATACCCTATCGTATATCGCTTGTAAATAGTTCTCTCCCTCATCTGTTTCGATGCAGTATACATAATTTATCCAATTTTTCTCAGTCTCACTCCAACCCTGATGTCAGTCCCATTCTACATTAGTGGTACAATGCAGTATTTGTCTTTTTGTGACTAAGACTCAGCATAATGTCCTCCTGCAAAGGAAGCTCTGGTGGTCTAGTGGTAAGGAGTTGTGTTACCAACCCAAAGGTATTTGGTTCAAAACCATTGGCTGCACAGCAGAAGAAAGATAGGCAATCTCTTGTGATATTTACAGCTTCTGAAAACCTGCTGGAGGGCCAGCTGTGAGTCAGTTCTTACTTAACAGCATATAGCAGCTACAAGAACAACATACTATAGAAATGACCGTATAGCTCAGAAAGCCTAAAAGAGTTTTTTGGTTCTTGACAGCCTAAGTTTGCCCCTGCCCCCTGTGGAGAAAGGCACTGTAGTCCACCCTTTCAGGGCCCTTGGCCAGCTTTTTACCTTCCTGCTCAGCCTAGGCTGACATCTGACATTCAGCTGGTACTTACTGATACAACTTTAACCAGTAACTAGTTGGCCCACAATGAGATGGATTGACACAGTGACTGTCACAATGGGCCCAAGTATGTCAGAGATGGTGAGAGTGGCACAGGAGAGAGTATGATCATTGTTCATAGTGTTTCTATAAGTGGTACTGGACTCGATGGCACCCAGCAACAGTAACAAGTTGTCATCAAGCTGATTCCGACTTAGGGTGAGTGTGTCAGAGTAGAGCTGTCAGGTCTTCAGTGGTTCATTTTTCAGGAGTGAATTGCCAGGCCTTTCTCCTGAGGTGCCTCTGGGTAAACTCATCCCATCATCCTTGTAGTTAGCGGTTGACTGAGTTAACCCTTTGCACCACTCGGAACCATGGTGGTTTGCTGTGTTTGAGTCAGTTGTGACTCTGAACTCCATGTGCACCTCCAGCGTCTCACTTGGCAGCTGTGTTATTAACCATTTTCACCATCAGTTAAGACACTGATATACTTTTGCTGTTTGTTCTTGTGTCAGTGCTGACTCAGGGCAACCTCATGTATAACAGAATATAGCCCGACTCTCCCCTCTCCCCAGTATCTCAGCCATCCTCTTTCCTCCTTGGAATCCCTTGTCTAGATTTTTCCATGAGCCAGTTACTTGAAGCCCAACCCTTGGCCCATCAGAGCCGGCTTCCTGGTTCCAGGCCCAGGCAAATGTGTTGAATGTTTTGAATACTGTCCTTGCTGATAGTACTTTCTTTGGGAACATTGTAGGAGCTCAGGAAACGTGTGGACCGAATGGACAAAGAGGCATGGCTGCTTCACTTGCAGAAGCTGAGTTCTGTGAGGCAGGTCCCAACCCAGTGCCAGGTACACGGGCAGTGCTCAGGGAATGTTGCTGGTTGAACTGAAAGCTGGAACAGTTCTTCTCCATGATAGTCATTCACTGCTCGGACTTCTCCACAGTTACGCTCCAGTCCACAGATGCCTGGAAACGTACATGCATGGGTTATAGAAGGAGGGACTTCAAGAGCACCGTGAATGGTGATTTCAGTGGGAACCTCTATTCTCCATCCTCAAATCACAACCCTTCAGTGATCATCAGTCCTCTCCCCATACCCTCCAGTTCAGCAGAGGCAAACAATGAAAGACCCAGAATACCACAGCACTCTCTGCTTCCGGAACCTTCCATTAACTCTTGGATACAAGCCACCTTAGTCAACAACAGGCCAGGAGACAGACCAAATAATGAAGACTTGCTTTTATACCTTTGGGTGAGTGACAGAGCTGGAAATGGCAGTGGCATTAGCTCTAAGGCCTGGAGTTCTCAACCTTAGGTAGTTTGGGAAAAAGAAATTCATCCAGCTATTTGAGCCCCATCCAGGGACAGATTCTTGTTTATTTGGTGTGAAGACCAGATCACAGTACTAGATCGATATCTTTCTCTCTTTCTCTCTCTCTCTCTATATATATGAGAGAGTATGTATATATGTCTATATAAATATGTGTATATATAGTGTGTGTGTATAACACACTGTCAACCTCTGGCTGTTTGAATAAAAAGGACAGTTTCAGGTCCTCCACAGCAGGGACTAAGAAAGTGGAGAGACATCTATGTCACATGGAAGGAAGGGTTAGTCTATTGTCTGGGCTGTGGGTAGACAGGAGCTGGGGGTTCCTGGGCCTCTAGAGTTATTTGTTCCAGGTCTGCAGTTTACCAGTGACTCAGCCGTGGAGGAAATGGGGTGAATCCTGACCATCACCAGTGGCTGCCAGGCTGGTGGAAAGAAGGAACCTTTCTCTTGGCAAGTCATTGAATCTCAGGGACCCTAAATAGAGCCATTGAGGAACTGTTGGCCTCAAAAAACCAAATGAGAAGGGTCCCAGAGAATCTCTTCCCCTTAGGAATCATGTTCCTTCTCAGTTCTTGGCACAAGAGTTTGCACTGAGTAAATGCAAGACCAGGGAAGGAGGCAGTGGAAGACTTGATTTCTCCCTGAAGGACTTCACTGGCTGGGGGTCTCAAACTTAATTAAGGATCGAGGTCTAGCAAGTGGGAGAAAACTTCTCACACTGACTACCTCTCTTGCTTTCATTGCCATCAAGTGAGAACTGACTTATAGCTGACCCTCCAACAGGTTTTCTGAAGCTATAAATTGCATGAAAGGAGAATGCTCATCTTTCTCCCACCCACCTTTGTGTTGGAAGTAAAACTTTAAAAATGAGGCCACCACAGCTGATCCTTCCCCCATATTCGTTGGCTGTCATTTTTCTCCTCCAAATTGGAATTTCACACTTAGGGTCTCTCCTGGCAGCTGAGACAAGCTGAAGTGGCAGAAATGGGTTTTAGAGAAAATGGCATGGTTTATACAGGTTTCATGAAGAGCTTCGAAAGTGAACTATATCCTGCTTCTTAGAAGAACTGGAAAGAAGTGAGACAACTTAGATATGTACAATTTCTGTAATTATCTTATTTTTAAAAAATTACCAGTATGATATATGAACATTCAAACATGACAAGTACTTCTACACCCACTCACCCCATTCACCTCTTTCTTACAGTCCTAATTTTCAGAGGGGATCATTGCCAGCAATTTGGTGTATTTGCTGCTAATTGCACATCCCCAGCAGGAAGGAAAACGGACACATATCCCTGCTCCCATTTTGACAAAGTCCATCATGCATCATACACAGGAAAAAGAAACATGATTTGTATCTCAAAATATCAGGGCTGGTCTCTCTAGCCCTGTTTTCTCAAATATTAAAACCAAGGACATTTCCCATTAAATCTTGGCCAGGACAGCTTCATTCCTGCATTTTGTCATGTTGATGCCCAAACAGGGGGCGCTTGCTTTGTGGATGTTGTCATCTTGTGAGAAAGATGCTGGCATTTCACCACTAATGACTGATGTGAAACTTGGTGACCTGGTTACTTTTGTGCTGGTTTCCATTAAAGACTGGTGGTTTTATAATTTGGCTAGCATATCTGTTTGAAGTCAGATTCCCTCCTGGTTTGTTGTTTTAAGATTCTCACCACTGGACCAATTGGCAGCATCAGGGTGGATGGTGAAGAGATTGAGATTGTTCACAGCTTTAGTTTGCTTGGCTCCACAGTCAACACTCTTGGCACCAGTAGCCAGGAAATTAAAAGACATATTGCAATGGGAAAGTCTGCTGTTAGGGACCTTTCCAAAGTACTGAAGAGCAATGGTGTCTCTCTGGAGACTAAGGTGCGTCTGATACAGGCCATGGTATTTGCAGTCACTTGTTATGCATCAGAGAGTTGGACAATGACTAGGGAGGATAGAAGGAGAATTGATGCCTTTGAGCTGTGGTGCTGGAGAAAAATATTGAGTGTACCATAAGAAAACAAACAGATTCATCCTGGAGAGGATTAAACAGGGCTGCTCCTTGGAGGCAGGGATTCTGAGGCTCCGTCTGACATACTTTGGACATGTTGTAAGGAGGAACCGGTCCTTGGAGAGAGATATCATGCTTGGGAGGGTGGAGGAACGGCGC